TTCAAATTATGTGAGCTAGTATTAACAATACCAGCGACAAGTGCTGCAGATGAACGCTCATTTTCAGCTCTGAAGAGATTAAAAAACTACTTAAGAAATTCGCAGAACCAGGATAGGTTGTCATCACTGGCTTTGATGAACATTGAAAAGTCCTTCCTAAACAAACTGCAGTCCAAACCCAGCTTTCTAGATGAGGTTATTGATCTGTTTGCCAAGAAAAACAGAAGAATCGAGCTGAATTATAAACAATAAAGTAAGCATTAATTATATTCCAGGTTCACAACCCTGTCATTTGATGGCTATAAAATTGTGTTGATAATTATGTGTTATTTTAATATATTAGCTTAAATATACAATACATATTAAACTATTAGCTGTTTTCTTTTAAATAGAAGATAGAAACTATAGGGTATGTAGAAAAAATTTATATACACGTATATAAAGTCGCTTCCCTGCTTTCGGTAGTCATGCTACGCCACTGCTTCACTCATATCCTTTGGAACGGATATGAGTGAAGTAATATTGAACCCAGTTCAGAAAAAGAAAAAAAACGGCGTAAGAACCCCTGCAGCACAAGAGATGTGGTTGCAAAATTGTGTATTGCTATTCATGTGAACTGCTGGTTTCGAGGGGGGGAGGGGAGGACGCATAGGATGGTATAGTAGCATTCTCTTTTGTTGAACCTGCTGTCTGTGCTGGTGGCCATTTCTCATGTCAAGTTACGTCTGCGTAGAGATGGCAGAAGTAATGCCACGTGACGTCATCGCGGCCATGTTGCCCACCATAAACGAAGAGTTTTCGGGAGTGATTGAGACTGGTGTTATCCTTTGTATAATTTAATATTGTTTAGTTTCAAAATGTGTAATAACTGTAAACAGTGGTTTCATCTTGTAAGTAGTATTATAGGAATAATTCTTGGAGGAGCTGCATTTGTCGTATTTTTCTGTGTGTATGAGAATATAGATGCCGGCTTCTGGGGATTTTTATCTGGTTAGTAGTTCAGGATTAAAAGGAGAGTTATTTAAATTTGATTTCACGATACACGTACGTATATAGCTTTGCAGAGTACAGATCAGGTCTTCGTGTTTCATTAAGTTGCCGTGTAAGTTTGTTTTGACACAATTCATGGAGTATAGATTTCAGTTATATTAGTCAATCAGAAATTACCACAGTGAGATATACGCGATTCAAGCATATATTCCAGACGTTAATAATCGCTGTGCATTTATGTCATACGTACATAAACGTAAGTAATGAAATGCAGTTATAAAGGAAATGCATCCAGGTAACTCCATATCACTTCATATCCTCATAGGCAAATGCCATGATAATACCTCAAATTAAGACAGCTTAATACTTTTACATCTTTTCCAATTCACTCTTCACTAATCATTCTACCATTAAGTGCTCTCTAGTCTGCGCTACTTACAGCATACTTAAATCATGAATACACAAACCTACTGATGGTGATGCCATGATATGAAATCAAATTTTAATGAAACCATGATATTCATATGGGTATTCCTATTTTATGTTGCTAAAAATTTAGAATTAACGGGAATAGATCAAATTGCCTTTGACCATAATATCAGCAAGTGCACTGGAGATCAGTGGATGAGTAACTGCAATTTCCAGTGGTTTCCATCACATTCACTTCGTTCTGAGCGGTTTACCTTTATTTATCATGAAATTCTTAGTAGGATGTTGCAGGATAGTGTGTGGTATAACTAGTGGTCTTGTGTTTGAAGGTGTGTTTGCCATGGTATGCTTCCATTTGCACTATCTTCATATTCGGCAGAAGCTAGACACATGGCACTCGGCGGATACACTTAGAGGTATCAAGGTGCTAGGCATGATGGGTACTTTGGCAGGAATGGCTGGTCTGATCTGGTACATCTTTATTGCACAGTATCACCACATACGTAAGTAAGTTCATTAGTGGGGGAGGGGGGAAACAGTGAAGAGTTGGGTCCTTCCGACCTAAACTTAAGTAACCAGATAGTATTATGAGTTGCCATCTTTCTCAATACAGTCCTCTTTAGTGATATTCCAGGACTGTGTGTGTCATTTAATTTAACCAGTCGTATTCACAGAATCATAAACTAACGTAGCCTGACTTACTGTACCATAAGAAATTCAAGTCATGAAATGTAATAAGACAGGTTCACTGAGGGTTCAGAAATTGCCCTGCAAAATTGGAAAGTGGGAAATTCAAAGAGTATTCTTTAATTTAACTAATTTGTTTTAAATTATATTGGTTCTGAGTCATTGCTAAGATACAGCAGTTCTATTTGTTTTCATGGTTTATGTTAGTTCTGTAAGGAAGAAATGTACTTCATTTTGTCAGATTTGAGGTTGTCATAGCAGTGAATATGAAGAGCACTATCTTCTTGGATGGGCCGCGTCATAGCTCAAGCAGTTAGTCGCCGGCTTCCCACCACGGCGGCCCAGGTTCGATCCCGGGTCTTGTCAAGTGGGATTTGTGGTGGACAAAGTGGCGCTGGGAAGGGTTGCTCTGAGTACTTCAGTTTCCCCTGCCAATCATGTCACCTAATTCTCCATTATCATAATCACCCGGGGCAGGCTACAATAGGCCAATCAGTTGCCGCCATGCCGAGTGGACCCAGTTGGACTCCACCCCCCCCCCCACTAAGCAAAGCGAATCTTCTTGGATGTTATGGTGCTCACTGCCTCCATCTTCAGGGTTGAAGAGTAGGCCAAGCAAGCATCTTTAAAGATGTAGGCAGCAGAATATAACTAATTTCCGTAGCTAAGTCTTTCTTGAGAAGTCACTGGTTGCCCAGATGCTCAAGAATTTCCAAACATTTTACGGAACTGGAATGTTCATTACCGTGTTCACAAGATCACGCCACTGATCCCTATCCTGAGCCAGATGAATCCAGTTCCTACGACCCCATCCTGTTTCTCTCAGATCTACCCTGTGGAGGCTCATTACATTTCATGGACCAGATCTCATTTCCATTTTCCTTTGCTTATGTCATTCCATAGTATCCATCCTAGTGCAAACTTTTTTTAATGGTGAGGGCGAGATAGTCCTCTAAAGTTATCCATTGTTTACTCTGAGGAACTAAGGAATAGCATAATAAACCTCACATGGGATAGCTGGGCCTTTGGGCCGTGCATTGTGGTGATGATCAGTGGTTACTGAATTTGTAGAGCAATGTCATGGTTTTGTTTCTGTCTGTTGCAGCTGTGATGCCTGTGCGTACCAGCATGTACATTGCTGCGGTATGGTCGTTCATGACAGCTAAGTGGGGACTATCGCTGTTTCTGTATTGTCGTATGTATGTGAGGATCCTTGTGGGACATGACCCCCCACTGATCAGCATCTGATGAAATATCCAACTCCTATTTGCCTCTCTGTGCTACATGCCAATGTCTTTGGGTTTTATTTTGTATCATGTACTCATCTGTGACATTCAGATGTCATCATTTAGTCCACATGGCCTTTCTTTAAGCTATCAAAGCCATACTGAGAATTACTCCATTATTGAGGACAATGTTATTTGATTATAGAACAGTAAGGCTCTTGTTCTCTGTCAGATATATTGACACAATACATGAAACCAATTGCAGCAAATGAGGTAATTTTGTTTCTCTCTCTCTTAGTTTTGTGTTGAATTCCAAACCTCGACCAAGACTTGACTTCCAGAACACTGAAATTATATATATCCTGTTTTACACCTCTCATCATTCCTGATTTTCAGACCATGTTTAACCATCCAACATTTGTACTTCAGTAAAACTCAAATTAGATATATGAGGGAGAGTCAGTAAATAGGTCACAAATGGAAATAAAAAGGCTGTAATGGACACAGTAGGTTTTCTGCATATGTCACTAGGTAGCAGCACAGTCCAGCTTCGTGACAGCCTAGATAGCAGGTGTGAATGCACATGTTGGTTTCAGTAGTCAAAATGGCGACCATGTTAAGTGTACTACCGAAGAGCAGCGTTCTGTTGTGCGTTTCCTGTGGGCAAAAGGACTCAATGCAAAGGATATTTGTGAAGAAACGTTTACTGTTTACAGTAGGAATTGTTTGTCGCTTGAAGCGGTTCACAGCTGGGTCAAGAAATTCTCTCAAGGACGTTTGAAAGTTGAAGTTGATGCCTGACCAGGAGTGGAAGTGGCTGAGATAACAGTCAAAATGTTTCTATGCTGCGGGTTTCAGTGCACTGGTAAAGCAATGGGACAAGTGTATCAGTGTTGATGAGGATATGTCAAGAAATACATGATTTTTCAGGGTTCGAATATCACATGTTTTACATTTTATATTCATTTGTGACCTATTTTCTGACTCTCCCTTGTAGCTGTGTGTAATTTAAAGTCCTTATGGTGGTGACGCTGAAGGGTACGGCCCTCACGGAAGTGATGTTGCTTAGTTCCGTAGATATTTACCAGTGTTTCAGTGGTATCTGCTGCGTAAAATGGGAAAGAGCTTATTATTCTGTATTGGAAATGGAGACAGTAGGCTCCTTTGAAACACTGGTAAATATGTACATAGCATCACATGCCAGTAGACAGTATAGTCTTTACAGGTATGGCTAGTCTATTTTCAGCAACAACCAGAGGTGTTCTGTCTATTTGTTAAGACAAGGCTTGCTCACAAAAGGTTGTGAGGTGTCTGCATAAATTAAGAACAGATATTTTTAAAAAAATTAAATTTTATAAAGGTTGCGCCATAGCACAAGTGGTTAGTCGCTGGCTTCCCACCACAGCGGCCTGGGATCGATCCCGGGTCTGCTCAAGTGGGATTTGTGGTGGACAAAGCGGCGCTGGGGCAGGTTTTCTCTGAGTACTTCAGTTTCCCCTGCCAATCTTCATTCCACCAATTGCTCCACAATCACCCTCACCTATCGTCTGGGGCTGGTACAATAGGCCAGAAGTGGCCACAGTACAAGGGACTTAGGCCCACCCCACTAGCATTAAAAAAACTACTTTTATAATTAATGCAATGAACATTTATTAAAAAACAGTCATATGCATTAAATATTTAAAATTGGAAATTAGTTAACAATTGCGAAAGATATACACTTATAATGGGACAGTCTAAAAAACAGTAATTCTGAAAGAGGTAAAATAGACACTACTGTGTCAGCATTTGTTTTCTTAGCTGTTGGTGGTAACGTTACATGTGTCGACCCTTCTTTTGGGTCATCGTCAGGAGTACAAGAATACTGGTAGTACTTGAATTACATCATCATTCAGTATGGATCCATATTGTGTTTGTATCAGTTTTTATACTAATAAATACACTTTAATTTATATGTAGTTCAAACATAGTTTAAAGCACAAAGTCAATAGAAAGTCCGTCGAGTGTAACAATTTTTTAGGTCACTTCTTTATCACTTTTGCCTTACATGTTTCGGTTTAATAAAACCATCATCAGAGGCACATAGTACAATCATGAAAACACTGT